TGGGAGGGAGTGAGGGGCCTTCCATTTTAATCATGAATTTGGGGGGTTTTATAGGAGAATTTGTGATTCTTTTTTTATCAGGGAAAACCAGGATCCCTGCTCATCACCTGTTAGAGGGTGTCATTGTTTTATCTATCCATACCCTGACATGGGTGACTGGTGTCTCCTGAGTCGGGGGGGGCACTTGCCCCCCCAGCAGCCAGTCAGCAACTGGTGCCCCCCCTCACCCCGAGAGTGCCGGCCAAGGAGAGGGGGTGTCAGGAGAAATGATCCACACGGTCCCCCCACAGCCGATCATGCCAACTGTGGGGGCGGGTCCCCCCCATGGCCAATCCTGCTGACCGGGGGGGGGGGGTCCCCCCCGCGGCTGATCTTGCTGACCTGGAAGTGGCAGCAGTGCGCTGCTAGCGCTTCCAGGGGGACCACAGGGGTGGGTGCGGGGAATTGCTTGTCCTGGTGCCCCCACTCCCAGGCCAATGCTCTCAGGGGGGGCACCAGCGCTCTTGACTGCCCCCCCTGCTCAGGAACACTGGATGTTAGGGGGTGCACCAGCATTCTTGGGGGTACATGTGCACCCCAATGCACCCCCTACGCATTGCCACTGCACCCTGAAAAGCTTTTAAGGCAAAAGAGTATGGGCCCAAAACCATTAATGCAGATAATTCAAATGGTATCATTTTCAGACAATAAAAGAGTGATCATGTGGGAGAAAATGCACAGGGGGAGACAGATATTTTGTAAGCTGTGCTAATTCATAGTTAGGAGAATTAAGGTTTTGTCACTTAAATATTTTTTAATTTATAAAACATTTACATTAATTACTCTGGCCGAATCTTTGAACATCTTGACATATATATTATTGTACTGGCAGTCCTTGCACTTACAGTGGGTTACATTCCTGGAAAAGGCACTGTAAGTTGAAACGATGCAAGTCAAATCTGATTTTCCCACAGAAACAAGGTTATAATAGGGGGTTATGTTCCTGATAGGAGCGGTGCCATTAGAACTCCCTGTAGAGGAACGTGAAAAGGTACCTTATCATGAGAATCAAGGCAGATCTCCCTGGAAACATGCACTCAAAGCTTAAAGAATAACTTATTGAAAACAAAAGGATGTTCATACCAAGATTAGCCTCCTATGGCATAAGCAATGGCTGCCACTTCCTTGTACTGCAAGGCAATTCGCAAGTCAAGACCCTTGAGCCAGCAATGGATCTTCTCTAGCTCTAGAATTGTAGCCCAGCACACAAGTATTTTAGACTCTTGGACTGGAAAACTGAGGCACTGACTGTGTTACATTTAATTCAGTATTTTAATAACAAAACATCCATGTAAACTGAATGTCTACCATGCACTGACTGAATTGCTAAATACTCTGCCTGCTTTCTTGCCAAAAGCATGCATCTGAGAACATCTTCAGGTTGCTTAAAGTATTTTCTTATTTTCTTTACCTATATCTCAAACTGCATAAATAAATTGGAGACCTGTAAGGACAATTCACTAGGAAAACAAAGAAGTACACCAGCTAAATAAAAAAGCTTAACCCCTGCACTAAGAAACATCAACTGAATATACAAGAATCCAAAGAGTACAAGAATACGGGAAACTTACGCGCCAGAGCAGGAGCACGCTGTAGTACATGAGGAGCAGACTGACTGGATGACATACGGCACTGGATCCTCACACTTACAGCATACCATAAGTGTGAGGATCCAGCGGCGTAATGACATAGGTGTAAATGGCAGAGTGCCGCAACTCGGAGCACCGTAAGTTGAGGACTTAATGTATTTAACAGTTGGGGAGGGAGGCATGGTCAGTTCCAAGGGATTTATATTATCAATTTTTAAATTTTAAAACTGGCAAGTGGGAAACTTTGGTTCCATTCATTCATTTTAATTTGGCTTTGCATTTGTACTTCAGATTTTTCTAAAGAAATACGTTGATTTGGAACCAAATATAGCCTTTACACTTAGGTTGAAGTTTATTTTTGCTAGTCACGTGGCTATATTTTACCTATATACACTTATAGACCATCAGGGCTGGATGTGCTGTGGTGGGGAGTGAGGGGCACCAACAGGGCTGGCAGGCTGTGGGAAGAGGGAGCGAGGGGCACAAACAGGGCCAGGGGCTGTGGAGAGGGGATTATTACATTATTATGTAATATAGACAGTTACATAATAAACATTCACAGTCTTGACTTCTCTATTAATGTAAATGTATACAAACACTTTTACATTGCGTTTGGTTGGAAAGTAGACAATGGTAAATTTAATATTTACTAGATAATTATTCTTAGTCTTTATTTTTTATTAAAAACAGCACTTATTAGAATTCAATTATTTTAACAGAAAATAGCAAGTTTAAACCTTACCAAAGGTTGCAGTAATTTCAGCTAATCTTTATTAGATGTATTGCTAAAACTAGGAGGTATTCAATTCAAATATAAAAAACCAAAAGAAATTTTAAAAGTTCATTTCTTTCAGTAATTTTTATTCTACTAAAA